TCTCTGATTGGTCTATTTAATCGCGGTAAATTAAAATCATTTAAAAACATTATGCTTAATACTGTAGCTGATAATTTAAGACTATTTTTTAAAAGAAGAAATGAATCATTACAAAGTATGATATATTTAATTTGATTTTTAAAAAAATATTTTTTTAGAGTGACACAAAATCATCTAACAGCTGAAGGTATATTTAATACTAAACTTATCTAGATTACATACATTAATTTAGATAAAGATTCTCAGTGTAATATAGATCAGAATATTACCCAACCCAGTAGCTCATCTAGTAATCAATAAGTAACAAATAAAATAATTATTTTTGAATAAACAAGCTAATACAATTCAACAAATACAACCACAACATATACAGCCCCAAATATTACAACCAATTACTAGAGATAACTTTTACCCTCCAATTTCAAGTAACAAAAATAATTGTATAAATTAATAAACATTTTTTTAGATATATTAACAAATATGGCCCAAATACAAAGTTTTGCATTTAACCACACTAATGATCAAACTACTTTTACAAGTAGATTACAAATATTTTTTTTAAATTATATTTTAATATAATTAGACCTGGAAGACATTAACATTGCAGGAATTTTATTAGACTTACATAATTCCAACAATGAAAATTTAAGTAAATAAATTATATTATTACATTTACATAATCTGATTATTACATTTACATAATCTGATTATTACATTTACATAATCTGATTATAAATAATTTATATTTTGACACTGTAATTTTTAGATATACAATATATTCCAACTTCAAAAGGGAATTTGTGCTTGTATCATGATGGATAATATATAACAAAAGAAAAGAATATTCAAAATCTAATTACTCAATATAATTTAAAAATTATAAATAAATATTTATTTGTTTAAAACTTATGTATAATTATAATATAGATGTATAATAAAATATAATATTCTGACCAAATTATCAATTAATTTTATTTATAAGTTATAATTATCTAATAAATAATAAATTGTAATCATATTTATCAGTTGCTTCTATTTCCATTATTTAAAGGAGTTCAAAATCAGTAGCTCTTCTTTCTTCATTATCTAATAAATAATAAATTTTAATCATATCTATCAGTTGCTTCTATTTCCATTATTTAAGGAGTTCAAAATCAGTAGCTCTTCTTTCTTCATTTTCTAATAAATAATTGATATATGTTTATTAATAGGTATACATTATTACACTAATCTGATATAAAGAATTAGAAAAATATTTCCATTATTTAAGGAGTTCAAAATCAGTAGCTCTTCTTTCTTCATTATCTAATAAATAATACATTGATATATGTTTATTAATAGGTATACATTACTACATTAATCTGATATAAAGAATTAGAAAAATTACATGCATATAAATTCATATGAATTAAAAAATCGACCATTTTGACCTGAAATGGACAAAGGTACCATTTTACGATCAAAATAATACGATCAAAGGAGGCCCTCCCATTTTATCGATGTTGATTGGGAATCCCTAATTATAAAAAATATGAAAATGTAAAACAATAATTATTGTTATAAAATATTTCCAGTTTTCTGGATCAAAGATTTGTATTTAAAGATAATTGAGCATTTTTAATTAATATTATAAATTATATTTAACATATTTGGAATCCTTTATTACCTATTGTATATTATTTAATTTAAAATATATTTTTTACAATATTTAAATAAGGGTTTGACTAAACTGCAAATGCTAAGGTAAACTGCATATGCTTAGGTAAAAATTTTCATATATTATCTATTATTTGTAGTGAGATTCATTTTCCTATGATATAAATAACTTATAAAAAATTAAATTATTAGATATATTTTTTTAAATACAAGTAACAATGTTTATTAATGGATTATGTATTGTAGAAGACTTGAGGCTTAAAAAACGATATATTATTATTATATTTAATATTAAATTGATGTTTTGAAAAATTATACAATGATTTTTATTCTAATATTAAATTCATGTTAATTTTGAATATATTTACTTAAATAATCATGATTACTTTCACCTTTTGTTTTTTTTGATCTTAGTTGAAAATAAAATCTTCAATCTTCCGTAGTTATTCAATACAATCGCCCACAATTTATTCTATATTATTTATTCTTGTTCATTATATTCAATAATAAAGAAATATTTCTTTTATCTCATAATAAATCGTTTAAATCCTTTAATATAATTATATTTAAAAAATATTTATAATTAAATTTTAAATTTCAATAATATTACATCCGCAAGATGGCGTACCATTATTTTATAAAAAAAATTATAATTATTTTTTGTTATATTATATTCTGAAATCATATTGTATTATTACTTAAAAAGTAAGCTAAATTCCATATATTATCTATCAAAAATTGATTCGAAAAATTTCAAGATCAAAAATAGGTTTTTATAAATTACATATGATGACAATTTTAATGGTTATTAATGTAAGATAAATTAATTTTTTATAATAATTTTTGCATACTTTCTATTGATATTTTCCCTAAATAGCCAATTTGTTTTTATTGCCATTATTACAATAAATAAATAAGATATCACAGAAAAATTGTTATCGAACATATAATGTTTGTAAATTATTAACACCTAGCATAGAAAATGTATAAAGATTTACCATTTTTAGGGGAAAAATATAATTTAGATAAGGGATTCCGGATATTTTAAATGACGTTATATTTTATTTGTAAAACGATATATTGATTTTATGTAAAGAACGTATAGGGGGGAGGGGTAGGTGTAATTGTCCGAATTTTCAGTTGATTTCTAAAGACTTTGATTTGCTATTCTGAGATATAATAACTTGGGGTTTTAACGTAGGCTAATATCTAATGAGAATTGTTGGTTGGTTGAGCGTCCATGTATTTCTTATTCTATAAATTTTGTTTTGTGAAATCATTAAAGTAATAGTTTAAATGACCATGAAAAGGGTCTTTAAGTGTTGCTGAGTTCAATAATACAAATAACATTGAACTGGAGGTTATAAATTATATTATGAGAAAGTTGAAATACATTATAAATGCTTAATTATTATCTTTCCATTAATTAAATTTTTTTATAAATATAATACTGTAATATCTTCATCAGCTTCAATTGAAAGGTTATTTAGTCTTGGTAAAATGCTATGTATGCCAAAATGGCAAAGGTTGAATACTAGATTATTTTAAAATTTTGATTATCTTATAAAATAATAAATTTATTTTAAATACTTTTAATAAAAACTAAATTTTATAAACTATTCTAATTTAATTGGTAATGATTATTAGATGCAAGTTTTGATATTTTGGAAAAAATACTAGTATCTGCATCTAAGATTAATTTTTTCACATCTGTATCTTGATTCTTAAGGACCTACCCATGTAATATAAATATTATCCTACGTGATTATCCATTTCTGATTGAATATATTAAGTGTGACCATTAGAAAAAAATCTATTGTGATTGTAATCTTTTAATCTAATTAAATGAGGTAAAAAAAGGTAAATGAATGAATGCCTTCATGTGAAATATTTATATAAATATAAATTAATAATTTACTATAATACTTAGATAAATCATATTTAAATTATTTTATTTAAATAGTAACTTGGTATTATTGAATATCATTTGACCCAAAATAATATTTTATATCGTAATATTAACAATATACTTTACCGGCATGACTTTGTTTTAAATATTATATATAGCACTCCACCATGCATATTATGAAAATTCAGCTTATTTAAATGCACCTTTAATGTTTTAGGAGTAAATTCTGATATATAACATTTTTAAATGATTATATTTTTTTATAATAGTATTTTATAATAATACAAGTCAACCTGCGGATTTAATATTATTGAAATTTAATTTTTAATTATAAATATATTTAATATAATTATAATAAAGGATTTAAACGATTTATTATGAGATAAAAGAAAATTCAACTATTAATGTATATTTCTTTATTTTGAATATATCTAATAATTTATTTTTTTATAAGTTATTTGTATCATAGGAAAATGAATCTCACTACAAATAATAGATAATATATGAAAATTTTTACCTAAGCATTTGCAGTTTACCTTAGCCTTTGCAGTTTAGTCAAACCGTTTAAATAATATATAAATAAGAGAAGAGAAGAGAAGAGAAAGAGAAGAGATAACGTCAATGTGTTTAACGGACAATGTGTTATATTTTTATAAATTTAAATAACTCTCTTAAGCGCCTTTTTTTAAATTTAAAAATCTGATTTTACCGTAATAAATAATATTCTATCATGTTTGAAATACCTTATCTTATTAAATTGTATACAATTTCGCTGTTAATCTTAGATGTCATTTATAATTTGTATATAAAAAAAATATATGGAAAATCTTAATATAAAATTAAATTATAAGCTTGAAAGTTTATGGAAATGTTGTCTGAAATTTGTAGGGTAGGTATCGCGAACATGCTGGAACAAATTTCCGGTAATGTCAGATTTTTTAATTTATATCGACGCTAAACGTATACATTCGTAAATCAACACAAAATTTAATATATAATATATATATTTTATTTAAAGTTTTCTGAATTATCTAATTTTACCAACTTTGTTCAGATAACCGGAAGTTTTTGTTAGTGTTGTTAAACGGCCGGTTTGTTTCGAGCCGGTTTTCAAAAATATCTAACTCGATATTTTAGCCAGATAAAAATATTGTCCCTAATCCATGAGATTTCGATAATATATTTTATTTATTAGACCTTTGTTCCTTCTATGAGCAAAAAATTTTCAAGCTGGCGTAATATTTTTCTAACAACATTAGCTTTTATCAACAATATTGTTTTTTTTTTTCACATTTTCTTTATTTTGTGTTACTAAAATATTTACAATTTGATCTCTTTCATATTCTCACAAAAAATGTTCACCACAATATGATATTTTTATAATTCTCTTTTTTCTTTCTTTCTAAAGAGTAAATGTTATGCTATTCAATGTCAAATGGGAAATTACTATGTGGATGTACCGAAGTTTTCGGATATGCACCCTTGCAACCCATCGGACAATCGTTTATCAAAATCGGACACCGGATCAGTAATTTATTCCTTCCACCTTCCCTCTTTATAAATAGTTTTTAATATAATTTAACGATAAAAATATCCATTAACGGTTCTTACTTTTTTTTTAAAAAGAATATTTCATTTAACTATAAAAAAAAATAAAATGACGCTAGATGTCTCTAACTGACATTTTCACGAATAGTGATTATGAGTTTCTAGAAGAAGAAAAAAATACTCTTTTTCTAGCTAAGATTTGATATTGAACTACGGCTTAACTAAGAAACTGCCTTGTCTTACCAATTTGCAAGTATAAACCGATGTTGACGGCAAGGGTTGGCATTGCCTCCACTGGTGATTTTGAGAGGGGTCGTTTCCTAATACATACCAAATGCAATCACCTATACTTGAAAGCGCTTAAATCAGCGGGCATTCCTTCTAAATTCTAACTAATCGGCATCTTTAGAACTGATATCAACACCAGATGGAATCTCGATTCCTTTTCCCCCAGCTTCTAGTTTGGGACTTCACCTGCATGATCCCATATGACGCATCTAACCAACCATAAAGTAGATTTATCCTAACCCTCGCTTCCCCTATTCTAGAGCATCTTTCGGTTGTAGAGATCAGAGCCTTTTGAAAGAATTAGGGAGGCTTATATCCTCGAAAAGATTGATCAGCCCAAAGAATCGCTCTTTAACTTAAGCTTTAATTTGTTCCATCTAACAATCTCTAGTGCCTCACTCAACATTACCTTCTTCTCCCCCGTATTACTACTCTAAATACTTTTACAAAACTCTCTTCTTAATGCCTCTAATTAATTTCCAATTTCAAAAAAGTGCTATATGTTCACCCTTTATCATACATAACTCAACATATGATACTAAACCAAGTTAAGAATCTAATTGCACCGATTAAATAATTATTCAGATTTCACTTTACGAATAGGTAAATATATATGGTTAAATCTCTTTAAACCTCTATATTTTTATATTTTAGTTATATACATCCAGTGGACATAGCATAGATATCTAATTTTTACTTGGAGGACATTGAGACTTCTTTTTAAAAAAATTGCCTATATTTCGATCAATTTTTTAAAATATTTTTATTCCTTTTCTCAGACCCTAGTGCCTATTAAGTTCGCCATTTTTATAATGTATTCTAAGAATAAACAGCTGAGAACATGTATTGTTAGGTGTTATGTGTGCGGTTAATCATGTTAAAACTATAAATAACATTTGATAAATGACTGAATTGAGTAATTACATTGTATGTTCCCTATTGGGATATGGTCAAAGGTTGCATTCAGTTAGGGGCCATTTATAAAATTGAGAATTAATGATTTCACCGAAAAAGTACACTCATAATGTAAATTTTAAGTGCCTATATCGTGAGATTTAAAATTTTTATACTTTAAAAAAAAAAAATTAAAATTCACTAAAACGCAAAAAACTGCGAATATTTTGTTGGGTGAGGGAAAGAGTTTCCTGGAAGATGACCTCTATATACCTCCATAGTTAGAGCTTGAATAAGACGTTAAGTATAGTGACATATGGAGGTGTGTTTACTGGGCTTTTGATTCCCCCTCCGCCTCTATATTCAAATAAATCACTTTTTTTAAAAAAATATTACCTATATTATATATTGATTTTCTAAAATATCATTAAAATCAGCTGTCCGAAAATTATGAACGCTTTACATATTAATAATTTTCCTATATTTATCAGAGACCTTCAGGCCCGCTCCTAAACCCGAGAACACGGGCCGGACCGTATTTCTTATATGTAAAAATATTTTGTACTCCCCTAAATAAAAATCCTAACATATGCCACTCACCTGTCAAACACGTTATTTATTTATATAAACGTGATATCAATTTTCGTTTCGATAGAAGGTAAGCTATAATTCATGCCCATAATTCTTGCTTATTTATCTATTTCCTTTTTCCTTAAAGGTATGTTATAAGGAGAAATGCGTCCTAGAAACAACAATAATACCACAGGCCGATCCATGGAGCTCTTGGTCACCTTGGTCACCCTGTCGTGGAGATGACGTTACAGGTTTCGAAAAAAGGAACAGGAAATGCGATAAATCCCGGTATTAAAGCCAGAATTTGAAATGCTTCAACAAATTAAATTAAAACTGTTAAATTTTTTTTTGAACTAACAAGATTTTCTGAAATGGGAATAGCATCTTGGATTAAATTTTCCCTAAAATTCCATATCATTTTATTAAATTTTTCTACATAAGATGAAATCAATCTTTTATGAATTTTGAAATCACAAATTTATTAAATAATATTTTGGTAATTTCTTTAAAAATATATAATTATCAAAAATTTTTAGGCAAAAAATAAATAAATAAACTATATTATCGATTTAAAAATGCATTATTATTATTTGAAATATTAAATGTTATACTTAAATTTTAAAAAGAGAAATTTCGATTATAATATATTTTCTTTTATAAAATTTAAAGGCAAATTTCTTAAAGTTTTTCCTAATTTCCTCTCATAATATAACAACTATTTTTTTAAAAAAAATTATTGGCACAAAAGGCACAAATTTCTTTATTTTTTTATACATGTTTTTATTATCCCCAAAAGTCTAAAGTTAGGAGAGCAAATCTGCCAAGGTAATGATACAGAGTACAAAGTGTGCAAAAATAAGGTAAATAATATATAAATTTTTTTTCATTTGCCAATTATCCATATCTATTAATAATTCTATATTTTAGATAATACAAAATATATATCTCTTATTGGGATATGGATTTTATTTGGGATTCGAAATTGGGTTAATTTTAAAATCATTTATTGGGAGCCATTTTTAAATCTGAGAAAAAAATTATGTTTAACCGGAAATGCATTTGATTAAGTTTTCAAAAACTGTTTAAAATTCTTTTCAATTTATATCAAAAAAAAGTGATAAAGTTTCCAATAACAAAAAAAATTTTAAAAATTCATAGGGAGGTTACTCCTCTACATATGCTGGAACATATTTCTGGTCAAATCATTCTACCCGTAATCGAGAAATTCCGAATATTCCACGGAATTCATATCCCAGTACAATATCGATTTTATGCTGGTCAATTATTCAAATCGATGCCTAAATAATTATTATGCAAGCCTTCGATGGGCAAATAGATGTGTCCAAACATTTTCTTGGTGGTATCTATAAGGCAAAATATCCAGAAGCTTACATTTATATTATTTTGGCTAAAATCATCATATTCCGGTCGTTTTACCCTTCCTCCCCCCTTAATTTATTCTATCAAAAATATCGTCAAATCCTTATTTAAAATATAAGGCTAGCAGAAATAGCAAAAAGAACATGGCTCTCTGTAAAAAGCACGATTCATCGTCGATTTATAGTGCGGAAGGTATTTTCAAATAGTTTTATTCATATTAGAATATATATATACATATTATTATTATATTGGGGTCTTGAAATTTTGGAAACGAGACCGTGCCCTCGAGTTAAAAACAAAAAAAAAACGGCCCAAACCAGGTTCGGGTTAAAACTAAAATCGGTTGAAAATGCCGGGGTCGATTTGAGCTTAAAAAACTCAATCTCCGGAAGCTCCTATGCTTGTCATATAATATGATATATATTATTTTTATTTTTTTAAAAAAATATATATATAGATGAATATCCATGTCGTTTAATCTGCTTCGTTGGACCTAATTTCACGAATTACGGAAATGCTGCAGATGGAACTCTCATCAAAACGGAAAATATGTTAAGCATGTGTCTAAATGGCTTTATTATAGTTACAACACTTTTGATATTTTATACGTCTCCATTTTTTTTTAGGAAGAGAAACGTACTAGCCATATTATCTCATCTATTTATGATTAACCAGCATAATGTTTACAATATACTATAGTATTTTAAATGTGAAACATCTGATTTAACCGGAAATGCATTTCAAAATGCGAATATCGGACGATTTTGCCTTAAAATCTGTTATAGTTTTTTCCTTAAATTTTCTTATCTATATAGATTTTTCATAATAAATCAATAAAAAATTCAAAAAATTCTATCGCAATAAAATGTCAGTAATTCGTATGTGTAAGAATACCTGATATGTGAATTAAGAAAGAAAAATTATCGACAAGATTCATGAAATCTTTATTATGCAGCCCCCCCCCCCCCTCCCCATCTTTCCAGCGAAATTTTTAGAAACACGGTCCTCCAATTTACTGACCAAACTAAACTGCGAGAATGAGAGAATAGATGATTTATATATTAATATTTTTATTTCTTCCTTAAAAGCCTGTAGGATGTGACGACGAGTTTTTCTCTACCGCAAAATGGGACAAATGCGGAATTTGTAATGGGGATAATTCGAAATGCTATCCTTTCGAGGCTGAAGAGATGATCACATTAACCAAAGGTAAATTGTTTAGATACAAATTATGATCGTAGAGGAAACCGAGGCAAAACGGGATTTTGAAACAACAAAATATAGAACAAATTAAAAAAATTTATATTTAGACAAATCCTTCCTACTAATACTTTAGGAGCTCTGATTAATTATGTGAAGTGCGCCATTTTGGCCCTATACATAATTCATCACTTTTAAATATAAAGGCTAATCAATAAGGGAAAGTAATTTTATCTAAAATAAACGTATGTTTAAGTGTGCACGTGTTAGGCAACATCACTCATTTTCAATTATTTTTCACCTTCTTCTACTAGTTTTTTTTAAAAAAAATTATATTCCAAAATAACACACAAAACTATTTATGAACGTTTCCCTTTTCGCTCTAAAATATCCTTTTTATATATAATGTATAGACGTTAATATTTAAAACTTCCTTTTTTTTTTACAACTTTAATCGGACAGAACACATTATAACAGTTTTACCCCCAAAAACAACTTTATCCCAAAGTGATATATATAATACAAATTGTTATTGAGTGACATTCCAGTTAATAGGGCTATCCGATGAATTTCATTTTTTTAAAGCTATGACTTTATGGGGAACATGTATGCAGAATTTTAAATTACGAGTCAAATATATATTTATCTAAAAGCAAAATAAGCAAAATAAACTAAGAGGGTAATTTTTTTTTATAATTTTTGGGTAAAATAACGGTTATTTTTTGTTAAAAAGAAGAGTCAAACCAAAGAAAGATTTTCAAAGATCAACATATCTAAGTAATAATACCAAATTTTTAGTCTTCACCGGGGTTAAAACTTTTATCTCGTTAACATTGTCCTTACCCCGGTCTCCTTCATGGCTAGTATAATGTCTTTAAGGATCGCGGATTGGCCTGATGTAGGAGGATAATGTTTTTTGGTTTCTAGACTTATGGTAAATCGTCCTATCTCTTAGCGGTGTAATTATTTTTTTATATATTAATATTTTATTTTATTTTGATTTCCCGATAGATTTAAATTTATAAACCAATGACTGCTGTATAAGATAGACATGGTATAATAAAACAGGCAAACTATATATATATATCTTAAATATAAACCATTGCAATCTTCCCCGAAATATTATTATTTCGATTCATACAAATATGACAGGTATAAGTCTGCATATTAGATTGGGATCTTTGATTATTGGGATCCATTAAGATTTCCAGATAGTCCTAAAATTTGCTACAAGAGGACGATATTTATCTAAAGTTTAATAGTAATAGGGCAAGCCATTATAGGCAAGAATAGAGACAAATTTGTTTTACTTTAAAATCTTTTTCATTAAAGAAAGAAAGAAAGAAAAATAAATATATTATTATAATTTAATTCATAAATCGGTTATAGACCAAAATAATTGAAAAAAAAAATGTTTCATTATTCGTTCTAGCAAATATTTTTCAATATTTTAAATAATATTAGATCAAAATCTGAAACCGAGATTCGATCTTATCTCTTGCAAACGCCAAGACGAAGCCCTTCTAGATATTGCAAAATTTTCTAGACACATTTTAGCAATTTTACTCCGAAACTCCTGTATAATTTAGACTTCTTCTTAGACTTAATGCCAACGAAAAAAAGGGAAAACTTAAAAAAACAGATTTAAAGTTTCGAATAGTAAAAAAAAAAGAAAGAAGGGAACCCTGAAGTTGATACGTGTCAATTTTTTTACAACATTTCTCTAGGATTTGGCTTAAATTAGAAAAGATTGGGGATTAAAGATGTTAAAACAATTCGGAAATATGGTTGGAAAGCATTGCTCATTGGGGAACAAGGAAATAAATATAGATTTAATTTGCATATCAAATTTGTCATCAAATTCAGATTTTGATCTAATATTATTTAAAATATTGAAAAATATTTGCTAGAACGAATAATGTAACATTTTTTTTTTCAATTATTTTGGTCTATAACCGATTTATGAATTAAATTATAATAATATATTTATTTTTCTTTCTTTCTTTCTTTCTTTCTTTAATGAAAAAGATTTTAAATTAAAACAAATTTGTCTCTATTCTTGCCTATAATGGCTTAGCATAAAATGTGTGTTGAATTCAAGAAGAAGGAGACAACTTCATCTCTGAGGGCAATTCAATGTTTATAAATGTTTGTTCGCGAAAAACGAATGAATTCAATTTCTTGTGATAAAGTTTTGATATAGTGTAAGATCAAACCAAAATAAGACAATTCTAAGAGAGGCAAGTTAAAATTACTATGCTTAAGCATAATCAAGACGCTCAAATATTGGTAGATATTGATATATAAATTAAGCCAAAGTTAAGAAAATTAATTAAAATCATAAAATTAGAAAGGAAAAATCATAAAAAATAAAAAATAAAGAATTGGAAATTTAAATATATCAGGCTATCAAATATAGCCGTAAATTTTTGCCCTTGTTGTTGTTCTCCTCCTTTAGACTTAAAAAGATTGCACTGCCTGCACTGCCATTCTTACATAGAACGTACCCCTAAGCACAATCAACGCAATGCTATTATTCAATATGCCCTTAAATTTTCAATATCGATCTTAGAACCTCTCAGTTTTTTTCTAATGGAAAATGTCGAGATAGCATTACCCAAATCTACCGAAAAAGGGATCGATTCCTATTATGGGACTATTCTTGTATTGATTCCTTAGTCGCCTCTAATTTATACACATCGGGCATCCTAAAGAGCTGCCAAAAATATCCGGAAATATCCCGAAGATCATATTTTAATACCTATATTCTCTTCTATATTGACCACATTCAGTAGCCAGGCTTTATCCTTCTGAAAAATCCCGAAATAGTTTTTATCTAAATGCCATATATAAATCGATCTCACTACATTAGCCTCATTGGTAGCCTCTTTCCCAATTGGCCAATCAAAATATTATTTATTTAAAAAAAAAAAAATTTAATCTCTTTTTTTTTGTTTATTTTTGTTTATTTTATTGAGTTTCATTTTATAAATAACAAATAATATCATATTAATTATTTATTGTGTTGAAATTAACTACAAAAATAAAGTAGGCGTATATATTAGTAAGCGATTTGTTCAAACGCTCCGGTATTTAAAGAGCCGTTATTTACGGAATCAACTCAATAAAATAGGTAAATTTATAAATATGGAAGCGAAAAGATGAGAACGCTAATTATAAAATTTGGGAAATTTATGTTGCGACATATATTTCGAAAATATCGCGTGGAAGAATAAAGCTGGGATTTCGATAGCCTTAAATACCGCACCGCTTTGACAAAACGCGTTTGCTATAAATGTGGGCATCCATAAAACAGATATTTTTTTAAGTATATATATATATTTGCTAATTAAATTATAGTTTTATATTTAAAATGATTTTAATTTAATAACAGCTAGGACGAATATAACGAACTTGAATCCAGGCACGACATTCCTACTTTTTAGACTAATTTTAGGATATCATCAAGGATTAGATGGCCCCGAAAATAGTATTGGTAAATAATATTTTATTTCTCGCAAGAGTTCGCACCAGGAAATAGCTTGAAAACCAAAACGAATCTTAGAACCCAGAACTTCGAGCTACTCACTCAAAACTTGTAGGAATCGAAAACAAATTCATATTTTTTAAATATCCTAGGAACCCGATCCAGAATCGGTTCTGACAAACGTGCTAGTTTTAAGTTATATGCTGTTTAAAATGTTCTGGTGATTCCTGTTAGAGGGAAGGGGGGAGGAGGAGTTTTATTGTAGTATAAATTTTTTTGGAAGTTTTTCCCATTTAACTATAAAAGATTTTATAACCATAAACAAAAAATCTTAACTCAAACTACTTCAAATATAAATATCCGAACATTGAAAATATTCTTAAAACGGGTGGCTAAGTTCGGAGATTTTGACCACAGATGGCAAAAGACACCTATTGGCCAGATTTTGAATCTGTGAGCCAATGAACATTCACTACCTTAGAATGTATGAACTCAACCCCGATTTTCTTTCCAAAATAGAATTTCCGAATTTCTAATCATAATTCATTTAGGACAATAATCACAACATATTTAGTAGTATTTATAAATTGTGTAAAAAAATATAATTAATGTTTCCCCTTCACCTAAAATAACTTCTAAATTTCGGGAAAAGTTGTAATTGAGAAAATGCATTTAAAAATAGGTTTAAAATCTGGTATTTTACATTTCATTTCAACATTTATTTTTTTTAGTATATAAATGTCGAAATTCTCATTAAAAAAATTATTAATAAAAATGTCTCATTTTTTTAAAAAATAAAAATATTTATATTTTACAATATTAAAAAAAAATAAAATAATGATTATATTTCCTATCGCCGTTTTTAGTATTAAAACGAAATGGAAAGAACTATAAAGGGAATTTGATAAAGAAGCTTACCGATATAACCTACGAGAAAAATAAAGATTTTGAACTCATAACTTCGCATATGCTAGCAGGCCCCCTTACAATTCAAGTGATTTTACATTACTAAATATTTTATCGTAACACTATACCATTAATCCAGTTTCATTTCAATATATGGCCCAATCGTTAAAAATTTTAAAATTGTAATTATGTCAAAAAAAAAATATTTAAGAAAAATTCAATCGAACATTTGTATTATTCGTATTCGATTCATGTAAAGAAAGAAAGAAAGAAAGAGAAAGAAAGATAGAAAGAAAGAAAGAAAGAAAGAAAGAAAGAAAGAAAGAAAGAAAGAAAGAAAGAAAGAAAGAAAGAAAGAAAGAAAGAAAGAAAGAAAGAAAGAAAGAAAGAAAGAAAGAAAGAAAGAAAGAAAGAAAGAAAGAAAGAAAGAATGAATGAAAAGAAAGATTGAAAATCTTATTGAGATAAAAATGGCGTTATGGTTTCTATAATTGGTATCTATTATATATCCAACAGCAAGTTTACATTAGTGAACGGATATTTTGTATAGCTGGCCTTAGTATTGAACTCTAAAATATACCTCCTTAAATCAACGAATCTCGGGGAAATTTATATTTATTCATGGTAAATTCCAATCATATTAAATTAGATTTTACCTTTAAAAACTATGTTATATTTTATTTTTTTAAACATATTTAGTATATATTTCAATTATTTTTGACAATTAAAACTAATTATATTTTTAAAAAATATTTAATATAACAGATTCTGAAAAATTTGGCGGGTAAAATTGTTGTAGGTTACAAACTGAGGTACGCCACTCCTAAATGATGATCCAATTAAATTCCATTATATCTTTTTTGGGGGGCCAATTATTGAATTCAATTGATTTATTATTTATCATAAACAAATATAATATTTTTAAATATAGTTTATAAAAGAATATCAATAACATCGGTTTATTTAACATTAAGAAGATAGGAAAGTTGATAGGAAAAATAAAAATTAACATTAAGAAGATAGGAAAGTTGATAAGAAAAATTAAAATTAACATTAACATTAAGGATATACGAAAACGTTCATTTCTTGATTACGGTGATTATATATAGATAATAACATTATATTAAATATAACTTGTTTTCGATTTTAATTTAATAAAATAGGCATTTTACATTCCTATGCTATCATATGTCGGAATAAGCGAAAATTCGTTATTCCCAATAAAATGGAATAAAATTGTTTATAATAATCTCTAGAAGAAACAAGTAAGATATTTTGTAAAATTCCCCATTTTCTCAGGTCCGTGAAGTTAGCCCCCGCTATTATTAATGGTTTATCTATTGGGATTTAGTCCAGAAAATATATTTCAAATCGACCCTACCCGCTCGCCATAGTTTTAAAGATATTTATAAACCCCCCCCCCCCACTAGGTTTAATAAATTTATCTTAATTTCTAAACCACATACACCAATAATAAGCTCCTATAACTTTTTTTCCGGAAATATATATTTGCCCCAATTAATGTTTTACACCAAAGACTGAAATATGAAACAATGATAAATTATATAAATATCAGATTAATAAATAATTATATTTGAACACTAATATAAATTTGGTCGCAAGGTTCGTAAGAGGAAAATATTTCCGGCGAAGCTCTCTCATAAACATGGAGAGCTAAATGATGCTTGTTCCATTAGAGGAACAAAAAAACAAGTAGGTGTTAGGCTGCGTACAAGCATATTTAATAACTAAACTACCCCCAAACAAAAAAAAGTTTAGGTTATCTCTACCTTACACTATTATTTAAAGGAAAACTCAGCTTTACTCGTGGAGTAATATAATCACTTCTTTTTTTTAAAAAAAAAAAATGTCGTTTCATCCCAAAAATAATCATTTGCAATAATAATAATAGTAAATAATTTTCTCTAAAAAAAATCTATCTTTGTTATGTTTTGCTTAGAATTATACTATTACAAATAATTATTGTAAAATCGTCCAAATATTCAAACAGCAGTCTCTTCGCAGGATTTAGGACAACAATCAGGGTACGGAGCTTTCTTGTTGACAGTAAGACAGGGTCCCACGGTAATGGGGGCACCTAAACATTAATTAAATATAAACATCGGATACAAAATTTATTTTTATTCTCTCCCTTAATCCGCGATACATATAAAATTATGCTTTGAAATATCATGTGGCGCACTCCATATTCCCTTCCGAACCTCGTGATAGGCACAAGCATTGTAGGCACATTTTTGGGGAATGATTTCATACCTCACCAGGGCTCAAAGTTAAATTGACATCGAATATTTCCATCGAGCATTTACCTAAATAATCATTATTTTAAATTAAATTATCTTTTTAAATTTATGATAATTCGTCGTATTTGTCGTCTTTATATTTTATTTGTTAAAATCTTACACGTAGCATCTGTAACCCTTGGCTCTTAACTCCCCCATTCTCAGTTAGCGCAAACTCCCGGCCGGTGCTAAAATTAGCGTTAAAAAATAGAAAAATAAAAAAATATTAAGTTTTTTATAACCGTTTCTAGTTTTTTATTTCCGTTTTTTAAAAAAAAAAAATAATGCTGTTTTACTCTTATATTAAATATTATATTCATATTAAAACGGTTTATTTAGAGCTATATATAAATGATTTTGTTGAGATATTTAAAATTAAGTGGGGTGTATTTTGGAATATTTTACGCCTTTATAGATGGCACTAACTAAAAAAAATAGAGTTGATTTGACATGGAGTTCAGCATGTCTATATATAAACTTCATTATTTCCACATAATATATTTTTTGATTTTTTAAAATTTTGTCTTTTTGCGTAAGACGAACTGAAGAAAATTATGATAACAAAAATGATGTAATGAACACAAAGAAAAATATTTCTTTTCTTAAGAAAAATAAGCCCCTAAAATTTTGCATGAAAGTTTATTATGACTAAAATATTATTGTATATAGAGTTGCTTATCTATTTTTAAAAATTGGTACAATTTTGAAAAGTGGGTGCTCTAGCACTCAAAGCACATGTCTGTGGCCATGCCCATGATATCGACATTAACTAGAACAATATTTATGCTGTTGGATATGCCGAAAAGAATGAGTCATTTGGTTTTGGTATTCCAAGACATCAAAAAAGTTAGCTACAAAATCCATCCTGACCACAAAATTTATATCATGAAATATGACCGATAGAAAGGATTAATAAAAGTCGCATTAGATCTGGTAGATTACCTAGGATCTTTTGGTATATTAGTCATAAGGGCTTGAGTTTATATTGCATGAACTACAACAACTAGCTCCCAATTTAAGCGAAATTGCATTGAAAAGTATATTTTCTATCTAGAGGTCATAAGTAACTACTAAGATCGGGTGTGACATTTATAAAAATATATATAAAGAGTGTTGACTCGAATCAGCCCAACCTCTACCAAACGGCTCATGGTAAATTTTGATAGGGGGGTATCTCGGCAACTTATAAATTCTTTTCGCCCCCCCTCCCCCACCCACCTTATAAATATTTTGCATAAGTAATCCATCCAAAGTATTTTGGAGAATCATGCATCTGTCAGGGCTGCGTTAATACCTTATATATTTTTAAAAAGTAACGAAAATCTCTGTCAGTAATAGACGTGCTACTTTACAAAACTTCCTTTTTTTTAAAAAAACTTATTTTTTTTTAGGACTTATACCAATTAAAGAGTATAATAAATTAAAGTAAAAATTTACTAATATTTCCTGAAAATTAATGAGTAACAATCGTGTAAAAGCATTTTTGATCAAAAGATATATAATATACTATCATTAGAACGTTCACTGAAGTACATTGCTCCATGAACATAGTGGGAGGACCGTATCATGCACCATATCAACAAGAAACCCATGATTATAAGCGCCGAAAATTTTTTTAATTGAGTCATCTTAATCTATATTTTTTTTATGATGTATTTAAAATAACCTCTAGCAAATATTCCACCTTAAAATTTGCTTATATTAAACCCTTTAAACTAATCTCCTGCTAGATATAATTTCCTATTTATATAAAATCATAACTCCATGAGTATGTTTAATGATACCATCCCTTTTAAGATAGATAACAAATAATTCTGGCAGTTTTTTTTTAAATTAAGAAAGAAAGAAAGTAAAATAGAAAGAAAGTAAAACATAAATAAAGAAAAGAAAGAATGAAAGGAAAGAAAGAAAGATATAAAACTCTCATTTAATGAGTATAAAGATTATATAATATATAAGGTGTAATGATTGGTCATAAGGCAGCTGTTGCAACATTTCAATTTAAAATAATATAAATTTTATGTGACAAAAATAATAAGGCCAAGCAAAGGCTCATTCGTCTCAGGGTATCATAACCCTTGTTATAGAAATAGTGGGTAACAAAATGAGATCATGGACATTATGATTGACAGAGTACTATGTATTTTATTATGGTTTGCCCTTTCGGGATCGACTATGCCCCGGTCTTCCCCTAAAATCTACACTTTAATAATTTTCTGAATTTGTAATCAGATTATTCTTCCCCGCAAATGATTTTCCCCGTTGTGCCTACCAACTATAATTTATTTATTACATTAGTACTTTTTCTATATATATAGTTTCAATAAAATTAGAAACTCCCAAACTGGCTATGCTCATGTTCCCACTATCTAACATAAACTTTGTTAAAGAAAATTATAAAATATTAGCAATAATTATACGCAAATAGATTTCAATTTATACCTTTAAAGTTGAAGGATATGATAGAATTAATCAACGATATTCTTTTCACTCAAATTTGGTTGATTGTCAATTAAAATGACAGAAATCGGTTAATTTAAAACATGACCATAATTTTCAAAACATTATCAATTATTTAAAACTTTATTATTCAATATTTAAATAACTTTAATCATTAAATTTTTATAACTTACAATTTATTTTCTTAAATAAGAAAAAGAAACGGATTTGTTTCGTATAACAAATTTTAATTTCTTATATTATTTATCGTAATATAAAAAATAATGAAAATCATAATAAAAACGTGTATTAGTTGTTAAGAAAATACTTAAATGAATATAGATATATACTCCATAAACGTATCTAGGTACGGATATGTAAGAATATCTAATATTATAGATATAACGAAGAAAGAAGAAAAATATATTAAATTTTACCCTTATTAAAATGCATTTTGACTATATTATTTAAAAAAATACATTGGCGACTAATCTCGCCACTTTTTATTTCTAGAAATCTTTATTATTATTATAATTTATCAATTCTACAACATCAGAGTATACTAAAGGTGTTTATTAAAAAATTGGTATAAAGTTTATAATTGGCCAATAAAAACATAACCATATTATGATTAACCAGTAAAAACAACTCTCACATAACCTCATCTAGTTCAAAAAACTATTTTAGATAGAACTTTGATTTAAATTTTAATTTTAAAGATTAGGAAATGGGGTTATACATTAATATAGAAGTTGGTTGATTTACAACTCAATTCATAATTCCTTTTTTTGAAAAAAAGACACAATCATGGCCAGTCATGCCCACATCTCCCCTATATATATTTTTTTAAAAGTGAATTCTCGTTAGAATTAATTTCATCATAATAGTATAGTAATAATTGTCGTAAAATTATAAATTTTTAAGATAATATTTATCGATATTATAGCTGATCGCGTTTTTAATATGATTGTTCATTATTTTTTATATAACAATGGTATATAGTCATTCTATTTTATTCTACTTTGGAATAAATTTAATGATTTTTTAAATATCGAAAATTAAAGTTTTTATTATCGAAAATTAAAGTTTTTA